AGTTCATTAACTGTTCAACAAAGTAGGCGATACTGTAGTTTGTGATCCCTAATGATGTCGTCACCATCAACGCTGGGAGAATTGCCAATGGAACACAAAATGTTCTCAAACAAGTCGAGATTCATTGTTGACTTCCTGAGCAGACACAAGTTTGGATCCGACGTAACGAACGTTCCCATGATTTTAACATCAGTTGACATGACCTGTATAGGCATAAATCTGTAATGATGTGGTTAAACATCAATGTTGCCGGCAGAACAGACTAACATGTTGTTGCTGGACGTTTCCCAGGGCAGTACCATTGGGACAACATATTGACACGCATGTTGTGTCTTTTCCAGGCCTTTATGGCCGCCGATTCATTTTTCAAGATGACAATACCAGATGTCAAAGGGCTCGGCTCGTTACAGATTATCTCCAACTCCAACTCCAGAATATTATCATATTACCATGACCCATACTTAGTCCGGACATTCCCCCATGAAGCATATCTTAGACATGCTTGGACCTGCGAATGTCAAAGAACTTGCAGCAGCATTGCAAAAGGAATGGAATAACTTTAATTCCCCCAAACGACCTGGGAAGTCTTATTAAGAGTATGTCACGCCGAATCCGGGCTTGTGTGGCCATTCAAGATACAGTTTTACCACTACTGACTCTGTTTCATAATGGTGGTAAGTTTGCTGTGTGACCCTGTGTTGGTGTAAACCCTTGTTCTGGAGAATCTGTCCTTTTCTACCTGTACGCAGGGTTTTGAATAAATTGATAATTGTTTTTTTAGTGTTGTTTTGACATTTTATTCTTCTTAATGCTTATGATCTGCAATTCATTGTACCTGTAAATCCAACATCCCTTATTTTTTAATTACGATATAAACAAGCTTAAGATGCCTGATTTTCTGTTAAATTTTGATACAAAGTCTTCTAACAAATATTGTCGGATAACATGTATATACAATTTGGGCCCTATTATTAGTAGACCTGTATTTTTTAAAATATAAAACAGAATTTATTTCAAAACTTAAGTATGTACATGAGAAGAAGAAAAGTTAATACTTGACTTCAATTCGAAATTAAGATATATTGACAACATAATATTAAAACAAACATACAGGCAAATATAGCCTATCATTAGGTCGTATTTTTTCATACTAATTGATAGTCCTTTTTTAATACTGAAATAGACTACTTTATGTTCCGTCTACCTGATCAATAGATACCGGTAAACCTCACCGAGTGTGTGACCGGTAACAGGGGATGCTTACTCCTCCTTGGCACCAAATCCCACCTCTGAAATTTCCAGGGTCCGTGTTTATGCTCTTTTCAGTTTTGTTGATAATTTTTGAGATTGTTCTCTGCTCGTTTTCTTCACCTTAAACACTCTTCTACTTGACTTGTTAATCTTTCAATCTTCTGGTATCCCTACAGAGATTGCTGTACTACACACTTTTAGTACCAGATACCATGTCTGTTCGTACTGAGATGTTGTCAAAGATTTCTTTACATTTCCAAGTATTTTCCTTAAAATTCTTTGCAAATTAAAAGAATGTCCATATTGACGGTAGATATCTTTCGGGTAAAAAAATATTTCAATTATCGACTGTTCGTCAATATAGAGTTATATAGTGAAAATATCTTACTGAGTATATCAATTCTGTTTAGAACATATAGTTTATTCATAATTCTGTTTGATTGATTGATTGATTGTATATTGTTTAACGTCCCTCTCGAGAATTTTTCACTCATATGGAGACGTCACCGTATGCCGGTGAAGGGCTTCAAATTTTGACCTTTACTCGGCACTCATGGCCATTGAGCAGTGAGGGATCTTTATCGTGCCAACGCCTGCCGCTGACACGGGGCCTCGGTTTTTAAGGTCTCATCCGAAGGACCCGCAACTTTCACTTCAAAGTGCCGAGCGCATGGCGAAGGAACAGTTGCTACCAATTTTAACGACTAGGTCAGTCGCGGCCGAGATACGAACTCACGACCTCCCGATCACGGAGCGAGCGCTCTACCGACTGAGCTACCGTGAACGGTATAATTCTGTTTGATGTTAAGCATTTAACTTGATATTTATTAAATAATCTAAACGTGACTTTGAACACATTCTTACACACAGCGATTTATTGCGATTTAGAACCTACCAGTTAATGTATCCGACGATGGTTAATAATTAGAGTCTGGCAAAATGATCGCGAATTGGCAAATCATTTTGGCATTAAACCGTTTTTACAGAAATCAATTTAAATTTTTATAAATTTCTTTTACAGAAGCGACTCTTTAAAGATACGATTGTTGTGTTAAAGTGATACAGTAGCAGTGTCGAGAACATTGATGACCCCTAACCCCCAAAAAGTAAAGAAGAACGTTTTTAATTAAGCATGATTTACTTTAATTATTGAGAAATGAACAAAAAAGTTCTTTCACAAACGATTTTTTTTAAAACGACAATCCTTCGACATTCTAGTAATTATGTCTTTCTTTTTTTCTAAATACCGAGAGGATCATTGACACACTTTAAGCTTAATTGTTTTGTTTTTTTTACCAAATTTAATGTTTACAATTCCTAACTAAGGCACTTCTAGTGATCAGCAAATTTTGTAACATCATTTATTGAATTACAAAGGAGGTAAATATCATGCTCATAGAAAAAAAAAACTCATAAAATCACTATAAACTGTATATACTTATTTAGAATTTACGTTTTTATTTAAAAAAAAAACAACTGCTTAGTATTCACATATATTGACATATTCAACAAGGACAAGGAGCACACGACGAGTGTGACCAGTCAGCAGGGGATGCTCACTCCTCCATGGCATCTGATCCCACTTCTGATGTTTCGGGAGTCCGTGTTTGCTCTGCTCTTATTTTGTATTGTTTTATGGACTTTGAGATTGAATACTGTTCGTTATCTACATATCCTTCTTATATTAAAATAGGACACAGACCTTGTTTACATAAAAAAGGTTGGGTGGTTTAAATCTCTCTTGTATCTCAACGATAGAAATTTAAACTTTGGGTGATCATTAGAAATACCTAAGTTAAGTATATGGGAACATAACAAAATTTGAAAGATAAAACATTTTTTAACTGAAACTGTGTCAATGATTCTTTAAGTATTGAATGATAATGTTTGATCTTGATTTTTTTTTCAGGAATCAAACCAAACTTGTTACCAAAGAAGAAAATAACAAAAAATGCTGATTGTTTTTACGTTTGATTTTAAAATAATCATGGTAGTAAAATTTAGGTTCATGTGATAATATACACATCGGAGAAGGGAGTGAATGTTTGGATGAGTGATGCCAGGAAGTGTGTGGAAGCAAAATTATCAGAAATTTACCAAAAACGAGAGGAACAATTTTAGCTATCCTCTTACTTCCTGTGACGGGAAATATAAAGTCAATCATCTTCAACCTGGTCAGAAAATCATCAGCAACTCTTGAGGAAGCCTAAGAAGGGTCCTCAACATTGTTAATACCGCATTAAAAATGAGCATGATAAGAAAATTCGGTATTGTTTTGTGTATATTACTCTTTCGGTAGGTTATTAGTGTAATATTCAATCTAAAATTAGTTGCATTAATGTGATGAAATCGAAATCTTCATTTCCCACCGAAAATACAGATTTAAGTAAGATAATGGACATTGTATCTATTGAGGTACATATCATCGGCCGTTTTAAAATGCTGAATTTTCATTTGATGCTACATGTATTTACGTTATTATTTGCTGCGTGTTACTAAATCGATAGCGAACAAAATAAAATATATCAAATTAACGTATTTTAGTCTTAATATTTAATCAAATTAACTGACCTGGGTTTTTCCATTTATCCTCTCACAGAATGTCAAAAGTAATGACGATAGTAAGCTTGTAGTCATTTCTACATTTTGGCTTTGCTGAAAACAACAAAAGGATTTTTAGCGTAGTAAAGATTAACACAGAGAAGTCTTATGGTAAATGTATATTGAATCATTCATTTAGGTAATGTAATTAAAATCCTATGGTCGGTATTAATTTTGATTGTAACATCTCCATATAAATTTCAAGAAGAAAGCAATATTAATTATTTTATAAATATTATTAGTCATAATTTTTCTTCATTCCAAAAGCATAACATCATGCAAGTAAAGATAGCGTAAAAGTACAAGAATGTAAAGGAGAGTCAGAGGTTGAATGTAAACAAGTTGAAAATGAAGAGTTTAGTGGTGAGGAGCATGAAACATTAAGTAGTAAAAGAAGCCAGGATTTGTTTGATCTCAGTCTTAGGTTAAGAGAGCATCAGTATCCAATGTTAGCAGAGCGATTGTACAGAGACATAGAAAATATGGAGCTGTATGATGTTTTTATGAATAATATTTTGAAACATACTAGGGTGTGTCAGGCTTTTATTGAGGTGTTAGAGACCAAGTCTTACACAGAGTTAAAGTCTTTATTTCTGTCAGTGCAGAAGGATGTATCTAAGGTTGTGAGTAAAGGAGAGTGTGTGATGGAGAAGATTGAGAGGAGGGATGAGAGGAGCAGGGAGTGGTACAGACAGAAGGTGCTGGTGAATGAGAAGGGTGATTAGAGAGAAAAAACATACAGTGTGAGGGTTATCAGTTGGGTGGTTTACTACGGACACAATCAGATCCTACAATATATTTTACAACAAACTGAATTACACAAAGAAACAGAGACTGGACTATTTTGGAATTCCGTTAGCCCCAGGTTAATCTATGAAGCAAAAAAAAAAGAGAGAAATAACATTGAAAAAAATGATGCAACAGAAAAATTATCTTTATCAAACTCCATTTGTGATACAACTAATCAAAAACAGAAAAATATTCGTTTTGTTTTTGAACATGACCGCTTATTTGTATTGAGTTGTTACAGTGGTGATTTGGAGACTGTAATAATTTTGATAAAGTATGTTGATATTAAAATTACAAACAAAAAAACCCTATATTTGTTTGCTGATACACCACTGAGAGCAGCATGTAAGGGTGGACATATGAGTGTAGTGAAGGAGTTACTAAAAGCCAGAGCTGATATCAATCAACAAGGTGAGTATGATACACCACTGACAGCAGCATGTGAGGGTGAACATATGAGTGTAGTGAATAAATTAATAGAAGCCGGAGCTGATATCAATCAACGAGGTAAGTATAATACACCACTGACAGCAGCATGTGAGGGTGGACATATGAGTGTAGTGAAGGAGCTTATAGAAGCCGGAGCTGATATCAATCAACGAGGTTGGTTTGATACACCACTGACAAAAGCATGTAAGGGTGGACATATGACAGTAGTGAAGGAGCTTATAGAAGCCGGAGCTGATATCAATCCACAAGGTAATAATAATACACCACTGATAGCAGCATGTGAGGGTGGACATATGAGTGTAGTGAAGGAGCTTATAGAAGCTGGAGCTGATATCAATCCACAAGGTAAGAATAATACACCACTGATAGCAGCATGTGAGCATGGACATATGAGTGTAGTGAAGGAGCTTATAGAAGCTGGAGCTGATATCAATCAACAAGATGGGTTTATAACACTACTGACAGCAGCTTGTAGAGGTGGACATATGAGTGTAGTAAAGGAGCTTATAGAGGCCGGAGCTGATATCAATCAAAAAGGTAAGTATGACACACCACTGACAGCAGCTTGTAGAGGTGGACATATGTGTGTAGTAAAGGAACTCATAGAAGCCGGAGCTGATATCAATCGAAAAAGTGAGTTTGGCACACCATTGACAGTAGCATGTGAGGGTGCACATATGTCTGTAGTGAAGGAACTCATAGAAGCCGGAGCTGATATCAATCAAAAAGTGAGTTTGGCACACCATTGACAGTAGCATGTGAGGGTGGACATATGAGTGTAGTGAAGGAGCTCATAGCTGATATCAATGGTAGCTGATACCATTGACAGTAGCATGTAAAGGTGGAGATGTGAGTGTAGTGGAGCTTATACACCAATCCACAAGATTTGACAGCAGCATGTGAGGTGGACATATGAGTGTAGTGAAGGAGCTTATAGAAGCCGGAGCTGATATCAATCAAAAAGGTAAGTATGACACACCACTGACAGCAGCATGTTATAGGGGACATATGAGTGTAGTGAAGGAGCTTATAGAAGCCGGAGCTGATATCAATCAAAAAGGTAAGTATGACACACCATTGACTGCAGCATGTTATAGGGGACATATGAGTGTAGTGAAGGAGCTTGTGGAAGCCGGAGCTGATATCAATCTAAAAGGTGAGTATCATACACCACTGACAGCAGCATGTGGGGGTGGACATATGAGTGTAGTGAAGGAGCTTATAGAAGCCGGAGCTGATATCAATCAGCAAGATAGTTATGATACACCAGTGACAGCAGCATATTGGGGTGGACATATGAGTGTAGTGAAAGAGCTTATAGAAGCTGGTGCTGATATCAATCAACAAGGTGGAGATGATACACCATTGACAGTAGCATGTAAGGGTGGACATATGTCTGCAGTGAAGGAGCTTATAGAAGCCGGAGCTGATATCAATCGTAAAAGTGAGTTTGGCACACCATTGACAGCAGCATGTAGAGGTGGACATATGGATGTAGTGAAGGAGCTCATAGAAGCCGGAGCTGATATCAATCGAAAAGGTGAGTATGAAACACCATTGACAGCAGCATGTTATGCTAGACTTATGAGTTTAGTGAAGGAGCTTATAGAAGCCGGAGCTGATATCAATCCTCAAGGTGCGTATAATACACCACTGACAGCAGCATGTCAGGGTGGACTTATGAGTTTAGTGAAGGAGCTTATAGAAGTGGGAGCTGATATCAATCAACAAGGTGAGTATTATACACCACTGACAGCAGCATGTGAGGGTGGACATATGAGTGTAGTGAAGGAGCTTCTAGAAGCGGGAGCAGATAGCATTCAAGATAAGTCAAAAACACCATTATGCTGTTGTCAATGCTGACATACGAGTGTAGTGAAAGAACTACTAGAAACTGTAACTGATATCAATCAGGAACATGACACCATTGACTACAGCATATAATGTGGACATACTTGTGTATTGAAAAAGCTTATAGAAGCTGGAGCTGATATCAATAAGCAAAAAGTATAATACACTACTTGATAGCAGCATGTAAAAGTGGACATATGAGTGTAGTGAAGGAGCTTATAGAAGTTGGAGCTAATATCAATCAACAGAGTGATATTAATACACTACTGAAGTAGCATATAATGGATGATAAATATGGTGGACATATGTAGTGTGAACTGGTCTCAATGAACTTAATAGATCGTGTTCCACTGACAGCATCTGCCGGGTGGACATCAGTAGCTGCTATAGGAGCAGACTGATATCAAACATTAAGGTTTTGTCAGATAAGTACTCCACTGGTAACAGCAGATGAGGGTGAGATGTTATAAATACTGAGATTTAATATTTGAAGGAAATGCTACAGACTGGGGCTAATTATCATTTACAAGAGGATAGGATAAATGCAATTGTGAAAATTCTGCTAGCACTCATGTATGGTAATTATTATTATATATAGAGTGGAAATCGTTTTAATAAAATTAAGACTGTAATCTTTGCAGAATCGTTGATGATTTAAAGTTTGCATTACTTTTTTTTTGTTTAGAATGATTGGTGGACATAGTTTTTTGGTGGATAATTTTATAGAGATGATATTATTCTCCTGGATGTTGGGTTGATGTTAGTGTCAGGGTAACGTTCAGACAAGGATGATTTTGTTATTCTAGCATGGTCTGTTTGTTGTGGTTAAAGAAGACAAATGTTCAGTGAGTTTAGGATAAGCGATACTTTTTTAAAATCGTTGCATGTGTGCATATAAGAGTTACGGGTGCTGAAGAATGTGCGAGACAGTAAAAGAAAGAATGGGACTCTGGACAAGATTTTACTGATACCGATATTTTAAAATTGATGATTTGTTTGAATACCTAAAACGTGCTGAAAGGAAGATAGTGCTGATTAAATCAAAGAAACGTGAAAGTTGATGTTCTTTAGAAAAAAGTAATACCGTATAGTGTACATAAAAAAAATTATAAAAATAAGAGCTTATGTCCTGACATTATACGCAATGTTTTAGCTACCCTCTCTTTAAAAGGTGTCTTGAAATTTTGATTTGTTATTATTTACAAGAATTAAGACTTGCTTCAGAAAGAGATCAGTCTTTAATCAGTATATGTTGTTGTATATTATATAGAACGATTTTACCCTTTCTTTGGACTTTCAGTAGGGCAGACTTTCTCGGCACTACGTTATGGTGAATACTAGTAGATTTTCATTGGTTACGAAATCAATAACATAACTGTTGTTGATAACGATTAGACGACTTATGCCCCACCTCTGTGCCATGAGAGAACTTTTAATTGGCTATTTACTATATCAGTTGACACTTTGTCGCATTTCTATCATATGTATATTTCAACAGTGACGGGAAGCTGTGTAAATTTCAGAAGCTAATTTTTATAATTAGGTAACATCAAGAATGCCACGACTTATTGAAAGTCCAAGCTAAGTGTGTAATGGTCCTAAATTGTCCAATTCACCATGCAAAAGAAAAAAAGAATTAGTGCATCCACTCTCATTTTGAATCATTCTGCAAAGTTGGAACAATTTTAGTCACAAATGGCATTGAGTGGAAACTGCCATTCTCTACAAATAATTAAATTTTACCTGTTCATTCTTGACATTAAGAGAAGGGTCCTTTTTTGTTTCCATACTTCAATATTTTATATTATGGCTGTAATGCGTCAATTGTTTGGTTGAAAAGAAGTTTGTATCATGAGTTGCTGCTAAATTGTGTGAATGCTTAATTTTTCTTTATCTTTACTCTTTTGTTGCCCTCAATTGTCTCTCATGGTTTTTCTTTTCAAGTATTGTTCATTTATTTATACATATGATGCATGATATAATATTACATTTGTTTACAATTAAAACAGAGAAATCTTTGAAATAGAAAAGGAAGAATTTAAAAAAAAATATTTAAAAGAGTCAGAATATTTCTTATTTTATATATTTTTTTAATAAATCACATAATAAAACAAATATAGAGATGCTTATCATTCATTTTACTATAAGGTACATATACAGAAGTTTTTGAGCATTTATTTTCAATATATTTAAAGTTTTTTAATGGAACCTGAACGTATCGTTGCACATATTCAGACATATACTTAGATCATCTATTTTTTTTTAACCTTTGTGGAAATGTTTATATAGTTTTATATATAACTGTTTATATATACTTCATGATATGTAATATGTGTACTGTAAACGTATTATATGCATCATGTGCGATATTTGGCGAAAATTGAATTTGGGACAAGTTGGTGTTGATTTGATTTGATTTAGCTCATGACCTAATGTTCGTATTTGAATATAAGTACAAGACATTTAGCAAGTGTATTTGAATAAGGGAGAGTTTCTTACCACCAAATGTTCTAGAAAGTATACAAAGCTTAATGTCATAAGTTTACAGTATGTTGTTCAATTCAGTTGTTACAGTTTTCAGTGTATATTTTGTATATCAAATCAGTGGACATTTGTAATTGATTAAAGAAATGTTCAGTTTCACGTGTTATCAATTACATGCAATTTGTTCCTTAAATGAATTTTATTCTCATCTAAATGTTAATAATAAACTTACTGTAATGCGCAGCTTCTTTAATTTTCGTAGCAGCTTCTTTAATTTTTATAGCTCTAATAGTCGAAGAGCTTATGCGATATTAAGGGTCTGTCGTCCGTCCAGTTGTCTGTCTGTGCATCTGTAAACAATACAATAGAAATTTCTGTGAAAATATTTTCAAAATGCTACTCCTCCCACAGTTTTGGTCTGATTTCAACACAAGTAGACCAGACTAAAATAATACATAATTCTATTATCGGTTTTTGATTTCGATGAGAACGGTGTTGCCATGGTTACTAGAAATAGACATTTCTTTGAAATATTTTCAAATGATATTCCTATAGATTTGGTTCTTGTGGGGATCCGGGTTAGAATAGATCCTCAGTACCCCCATGCTTGTCGTAAAAGGCGACTAAATGGGGCGGTCCTTCGGATGAGACAATATAAACCGAGGCCCCGTGTCACAGCAGGTGTGGCACGATAAAGATCCCTCCCTAGTCAAGGACCGTAAGTGCCCTGCATAGACCTAAATTTGCAGCCCTTCACCGGCAATGGTGACGTCTCCATATCAGTGAAATATTCTGGAGAGGGACGTTAAACAATATACAACCAACCAACCAACCTACAGTTTTGGTTTGATTGCAATAAACATTTGCCTAGAAAAGACTAAACCAATAGTATTTTTTAAAATTCTGAGGTTTTGCTTCTAGTTCAAATGCTACTTTTATCTTCCTTTGTTATAACAATAAAGCAGTAGAGCGACCGTCCTGTCAGAGATTTCTGGGGTTTTTTTTAGGTGCAGACCACAACCTATGAATAAACATCGAATATGGCTTTCAAACTGTTTAATTACAAAATATTTACTGTGCCTAGATATCCATCCATCCATCCTCCATCTTGTCCATGTTCTTCTTAAGGTTATACGCAACGTAGTTTGAACTTTTTTTGGATTCTTCCCTGGAGTTGAAGAGTTCCACTAAATGAAGGACCTGTGTGCAATATTTTTAATGTCTAAATATGGATTTGTACACCTCTTCTAAAACAATTTTTTATGAAAAAAAAATCTGGAATTTATGTTTTATAATTTTTGTACATTTTTATTTGAATAATGCAAATATTTTCAAAATTCCATATCTTTTTAAAACCCTTGGTAACGCATGCTGATTTTTTTTTCTAAGATCATGATATTATAAGTTTGAATTAGGAATATCTTGGAAAAATTTCCGTAGATAAGGTACGTTGCATATGATGTCCTTAACCCTGCAACCATAGTCCTTCTAAACACGTCATTTCAATATTCAACAATCACTTATTCAAAAAGGGCCTAAATAAAGGAGCCTTGATCTTTCAATTGAAGTTATATTTTTTCATATATGTATTATAATTTCTATTGAAAATTACGCCAAAACAACGGACAAACATATAAAACATGTAAATTGACTTCCACTGCAACATGGCGTGATGCTGGGATTTGTTGCAGCAGGAATGACTCTATCCAAGAAAAGTTGCGCCGCAGATTTTATAGTGATATTTTTTAAAACAGAGATTGCTTTACTGGACATTTAAAGTATTAGATACAATGTCCATTCGTACCAAAATGCTGTCAAAAATATGAGTGTGAAATTATATCTAATTGTTTTTAACAATAAACCTTCTTTTAAGTAGAAAGTAGGTGTTTTTATAACATAAAGTTAAAAACATTAGAGTTACTTCTCTTTGCCTACAAACTGTTTTGTATAACGAAGGTCAAGGATTTCAGAACATTTTCTAAATGGCCCTACAATGACTTTGAGTAGAACATTTCATGGATATAGCATACTCTTCCTGGGGGTTGTAAAATTAATAAGATGTAGTAAAAGGGTCCACCAAAAAAGACAAGAGACCCATGGGCCACATCGCTCACCCGAGCATTGTGGCTAGGAAAAAGAGAAATTGGTTTACTATTGAAAAGATTAAATCTAACAGTTTGGCCCCGCCCTAACCCCGGGTCATGATTTAAACAAACTTGAATCTACACACCTGGGGATGCTTCCATATAAACATGAGCAATAATGGATTTACTGTTCTTGAGAAAAAGATTTTTGAAGAATTTTCCTATATATTTCTATGTAAAACTTTAGTCGGCCATTGTGGCCCCGCCTTATCCCGGGGGGTTTCCAAACTTGAATTTAATCACCTGAGGATGT